CTGATAAGCTGATAAGGTAACCATGAGTAATTTCGTCACACGGTCATTTGTCACACCCCAATTACTTGAGACGAAATGACTTCGCTTATATATTATTATCTCTCCAAAATCCTTAAGCTAGGACGCTTTTGGAGGATCAGCCGAAAACTTTTTTTAAAAAGTTAAATAAATAAATTAATGTAAATTAAATTTTCGTCCATGGAACAGTAGTTTAAATTTTTAAAAGGTAAAAGCAATGTCTGGTATAAGGCTTTATTTGAAAGTAAGGGTCTATATATAGAGCTTTTTAGCAATATTGCAGTACTGTACATTTCTATTAGGCCTAGCTAGTTTATTTTAACAGAACTAATATGATCTTGCCAATCACACCTTTCATCAATAGTAAATCTAATACCTACAAACTTTGTTGTGTGTTACAAAAAGACTGTCTCCATTCATCAACCTTGTTTGATTTGGGGTGTGACGAGGTGACTGTGACGTCTTGACTGCCGCAGTGTGACGAAATGACTGGTATTCACTGGTAATAAGCGCAGATCTTAAGACTCCTGGTAGGATCATTCTAAGTGATGAAAATGGCATGCCTCACACCACTGTGGCTGGTCGTTAAGGTTGGCCACTCTTCTCTCCCCGTGGTTTTATGCACCCCGCATAATTTAGCAAAATTTGATCTTTTTTTGCATAATTTCTGATTATTTTCCTGTATCATTCTTTGTTAAAATTAACAGAATCGCATAATTTCACTTATGTAGGCTCAGTTTGCATAATTTTATAATTTCTTTTGCATACAACTGCGTGGACAGACTCTTTGTCGAACACACCCAGGGGCCATGTCACTATGTCAGTTCATTTTAGAAAGAGGGGAAATCATTGTACCCTTTGTTGGCCTTAACGTGGGTTACTGTAGATTCTTCTACTTCTCTCTCTCTCTCTCTCTCTCTCTCTCTCTCTCTCTCTCTCTCTCTATTTCTCTCTCTCTCCCTCTATCTTTCTTCCTCTATCTTTCTCCTCTCTCTCTT